AATAGTGAAAAGAGGAAGCAAAAGCTTTCAGCATACAGAGTTGTGCAGCATGTACAATGAGAACAGCAAAGGGCCTAAAATTGAGCCTTGTGGTACACCATACTTTTGTTAGGTCAGATATCTTTTAATTTACACTAATGAAAAAGGTAGTGATCTGCTAGGTAGTCTAGAAGAAAAAAAAAACCCTGGTTATATAAGATCATACAAAATTTTTACGTGCAATCTCACTACCGCAATGTTTTTTATTCATCATTAATGTTATATTATTTTAAATATATACTTGAAGTACACTTCAAGTGCATCCTTTTTTCACTGTATTTGTCTATGTAAGATAAAATGTTCATTAGTGGTTTTAACGGGAAGTAAAAGGTTTCAAACCTGGTCCAGTGGTCCAACAGACACCTTACACACATTACTTGAGATGAGTTCCCATGCAGAACCCTGAGGATAGCTGGGTGTCAAACCCTCTCTGTACCACAGATTACCTGCAAAAAAAAACACACACTGAGCTCAAACTTGATTGGAGAGAGATCTGCTTTCCATGTGCTACAATGTTCTCAATGGCATATTGATTACTGCTTACTTGTTCACTGCATACTGCCTACTACTATATCTCTCTTCACACTTCATAATGAGGAGAAACAGTCACTTAGAGCCTGTGATTCCCCATACAGCTTGATTAAAATAAATCAACCAAATAAAAAAAGAAGTGAGTGGGAACAGTTGTCTCACTGTTTTCATCCACAGCATAAACGGAGGTCCTGCCTACAGACACCTGCCTGAGCGTCTGCTTTGGGGGAGCTGGTATGTGATACCAGCACTCACCTGAGAAATCAAAGAAATCTTAATGAGTCATTTGACAAAATAAGTGTGCCTGTACTTTTTCGTTTTTCTACATGTAAATAATGACATAACAGCACAAACAATAAAGTTTTATGAAAACAAGAAAATAGTATTAAGTGTTTTAAAAGACTTGTTACTTGCATAATTTCTCCTTATTTTAACATTATATGTAATTTACCTTAAAAATCACTTTTTTAAAGTGCAAAAAGGTCTTGTACTTCATGCACTGAATCACATTTATCAACTGCTGTAAGTTGCTCAAATTGGAAAACCAGAACCAGCAGTAGTTTACATATTGTAGAATGTCCATCATCATTTTCTAGTTGAAAACGTCACGCTTTCCATCAGGATGATTCTGTGATCTCACCAGCTGGATTGTGGGCAGACACGGAGCCCCGGTAGAAGACGGCACCGTCCCTGGCGATGGCCCACACCTGGTGGCCTCCTCCTATGCAAATAGACTTGAAGGGCTGGTCTGTGCCCACATGGAGCCAGGAGTTACCCTGTGGTTTCAGAGAGTTAGAGGTTACAGGACGTCCCATCGACTATGTGCACTAACTCAATATAAGAACAGACGAGAGGAGGATATTCATTCTGAGGAAAATGATAAATAAAAACCCCAAGAAGTCAATACAAGGGATTTGTGTCTAATAGCTTCTGAAGTCAACGATATATGCTATATATTCACTTCATAT